TTTATTCTTTTGTGCTCTTTGTTTAATATGCTGCTAATCCAAAGAGCTGCTAAATTGCCTTACACTACTGTTTAACAATGACAATAAAGACCTCGTCCTTTCTATTCTTTCTCCACTTTATTTATACTTTTTTTATTCAAGTATTTATTATTGTGATCTTACCTAGATTGTAAAGCCTCTTGAAAGTTAAGGTTAAGGGTTAAGGTGTCTTTATTTGTCCCCTTTAAGAGAAATTTGTTTTAGACAGAGCGGTCTGCTGCACAGACAACACAGACCACTCATACAACAATAAAAAAAAACATCCAGAATAAAATAAAAGAATAAATAAATCAATGAAATAAAAGTGCAATGCATTATGACATTGCTTTAAAAAAAACAAAAAAACAAGTGCAATGTGAAAAAATAAACACAGACACACCCCTTACCCTGTTACACACACGGTTATCTGGGTGACCTTGCTGGCTTCCTGTTCTGTTCCTATGTAAGTATGATTATTCTAATATTTTTCTCCCTTCACCAGTTTACCCTGCAGAAACCTTAATCGCCAACTCTCGCGATACTTCCCGTACTCTCGCTCCAGCTCCCAGGGAAAAAAAAAAAAAAAAACAGCGGCTCACAGCGCAGCCAGTCTCAGTTGACGCGGCGCTGGGAGCTGGAGGCACAAAAGAGGAGGTGAGAAGGTGTTTGCTTTCTGACACGTCTGTCTTGTTTGGTTTTTTTCTTTTCTTTTCTTTTGCCGAGAAACGGATAAAGTAACATAGCAGTATATTTATCAGCAATAAATGCTACCTTCGCTCCACAGCCGTGGACTACTTTGATACCCAGATAATGCCCGGGCACGCTGACAGCGAATATTGATAAAAGCACCGAGTTAACGGTTGTTTTTTCTTTCGCTACTCCTCCTCGTAGTTTTCCCCCCTCCACGTTAGCGGCTAACGGGGAGGCTTGTAGTGAACCGGGGCGAGGAACAGCCCGTTCCCGCGGCGCTGCCCTGCCCGTCAAAGGGCTACATTGTGTCCGGTCTGGCATCTGCTGGCGGCTGCTGCGGACAGGACGGTGTGATTTATGTGCCGTTAGGTGAGCTCCGGCTGCTTTACGGCTCTGGTCGCTGCTCAGCCCCGGTGGTTTAGCACCGCGCTGCTACCAACCCGACCAGCGTGGATAAGTTTCTGGGCAATTATGCTGCTCATATTAATAAATTAGCAGACGCCACGGTGTTTCTAAATGAGATTTCTGTACGTCAAACGTTGAATTCATCCTCTGTGTCGCTAAAAAAAAAAAAAAAAAGTGATGCTTGTCCATCACTACAGATTTCAGGTAACTGAGGAAACAAATAGCAAAAGAAAAAAGAAAAACTATTTTATAAAAAGTAATGTGATTGGGGCTGAGCAGGTAAATTAGTTTAAAAATCACAATATGGCTAAGGGCAATATCTAAATCACAGGGGCAAGGCAAAATGAGACACTAAATACTTGGGGTGGTCTTGATTAATCATTAATTAATTAATTTAACTGATTAAAAATATATTAACAACAAGGCAGAAGACATGTCAGTGAATGTACTGTGCATTAACTGTAGGTTGCATTTCAACACCTTGCAATATTAGTCTATACAAGCAGCCATGCAGTGCATTCTGGTAGCGAGGCAATGCTTTTGTAGAGACAGGAGGTGGTGTTGTTCGCTCCTTATTTACATAAAATTAAGGTCTTGGCTACTTTATGCAAATCGGGGTCATCCGATCGCCACTAGAGGCCTCTGGGAAACACGCTCAAAACTTTAAAACTGTTTGCTGACATCCAGTGAAGACAGATTTAGCTACTGCATTGCTTATTTGTTGCCTTAGAAAGCCCAGGAGCGAAGTGATTGTCCAATTAGGCGCAGCCAGTGTTTGTTGTAAGTGGGTCGTAGTTTTCTGTCAACCATCTATGATAACAATTCTTAGTCCCACACCCATCAGGCATCTGATGTTCGGACGATAGGCAACTTCTGGTGTCCATAAACGCCCCTATTGCTGCTTAATGCGATTAAGACTGCAGCTTGTTTACTGTATTTAAAACTTTAGCTATCTGAGTTGATCAGATTGTGGGCAGCTCCGTGAACCACAAGGATGTTGATGTTAAAATCCAGTTTCTGGGTAGCTTTGTCATTGTTATTTCAATTGTGTTGTGTTTGAAATGAGATTTTCTTGGATGGATGGGTTTCTTTTTGGTGTTTATGTGGCTGAGATCATTGTGGGGGTTTAGCTCGCCACGGGCCATCATGACAGAGATTTGTGTAGCAGTTGATGGTTTCTGGTAAGTGTAGTTTATGAGACAGCATTCCTGTTACCAAGCCGCTGATTTTTGCCAATTTTGTGGCAAACATTAGGCAGCTGTGGTTAAAAATGGCTCAATCAGCATATGGAAAAACAGTCACTATACTCACTTTATTTTAACGATTAATTATCGCAGTTATTGATTCATGATGTGGCAGAGGATTGGGGATATTGTTCAGCCCTAAATATGATATTCGATCCATTCATTAGCAATACCTGCTTTATCCTGTAGAGGGCTTTTGGGGTGCTTGAGCCGACTGTCACTGGTCTAACTAGTTCTTTCTGTACAGCTCTGTGTTGGCGCTGGAGAACGATCTGACTGCATCTCGTTAATATTCTGCTGTAGGGGAAAGAACACAGGCTTGTTTGTATTTCCATAAATATAGCGGGCGGAGCTAGCCCAGGATGCAGCAATGATGCCCCTGCAAAATAGTGACGGGGGAATTGTTTTTGGTGGAGCATTTGCATGCAGGGAGTTGAACACTTTCATTAAAATTGATAATTAACCTGAAATTTAACCTGAATATTCCTCGATCTTCAGTAAAACTTGACATTTCCAGCATGTAGGTTGCTGCTATGAGATTTCCCATTACAAAGAGAATTTATAAAATGGCAACATGTAGGTAGCAGAAGGGGGAAAAGAAAGCTGAAATAAATATGCGGAGGAAACATCAGGCTTTTATTGAAAGCCTGCATCCAGCGAGTCAGATTAATCCCTTCTGACGTCGGGTTAGATGCGGGGTACACACTGGACACGTCGCTAGTCAGAAATCTCAGCGCTAACGCGAAGTGACAGACAACGATGCTCGCTCACACGTGGAGAAAACTGACACAGGCAGGGAGAACATGCAAACTCCACACAGAATGGGCCTCAGGCAACCAGCAGGTTTCAACCCACAACCTTCTTGCTGTGAAGCAAGAAGAATTTCACACAGTTTTTAAAAAAAATGTTAGTATTTAATAGACCGAATGATAAATCAAGACAATAATTAGTAGATATCAGCTATCTATTATATGCATTTGATTGTATTGTAATGTAGGGCTGAGTGATTTGGGGAAATAAATGAACTGCAATTTGATTTACGATGGAGTGAAAACCATGACTGTATCATAAATTTGTTTAAAGTCAACCTTCAGCTAAATATTGGCCGTGTGACAGATTTAAAACGTGATGCAGCATGAGACACCATCCGAAGCGTGACTGTCATATGTGGAGGACGGCATGAATTTCTAAAGCACTGATGCTACAATTTAAACGCTTTACCTAAAGAATAAAGTAGTGTAGGCGGAAGTATAGCTTAAGCACAAAGCTGGAGTGACTTAATTCGTTTTGCCGGTGAGAAGTCTCACATCTTGTACATTATAGGATTGCAGTTAATTTGTTGCTGTGCAGAGATGAAGACGTGTAGTCTGCAGCCTCTGGAGGGAGGAATGACGATTTTCCATGTCAATGGTCCCCTCTTAGCTTCAGAACAGGGGAAATAATGTGAGATCTGTTGCCCTAGAATTCCAAATTTAGAAGCGCGTCCGAATGGAAAAGTGACGCCCTGTGACTTCTAAACTGAACAGAAAGTGAAGGATAGCCTTGAGAGTGAAAATAAGAGTTGTGATTGAAATATCACAGGTAGAACAGACATCTCACGTACTGTCTATTTTCACCTTTGCAGTATTTCTAACCTCTGTCCTTCATTCTCTCAGCACAGCACTGGAGTTTGTATTCACTCCCTGTTTATTGCTTGCATTGATTACTCCAACACCCTTATCTCTGGTGTTGGCAATTAACTTCTCCATCAGCTCCGAATCATTCAGGATCATCACACGCATCGAGTCCACCGAGTCCACTGACCGCATCACACTCCTCCTCCTCCTCATTCAGCTCAACCGGCTCCCTGTTCCACAAAAGATCCATTATAAGATTCTGCTGCTCGTCTTCAGAGCCCTCCGTAACCTGGCTCCCCCCCCACACAGCCGTCAGCTATTGCACAGTTCAAATCACTACTCAAAACACATCTGTTTAGAGCAGCGCACTGATTTTTATACTTCGATTGTAATCTGCTCTGATTTTATTGTTGTTGTTTAAATATTGTGTTAATGTGCCTGATGTTGTGTAAGGTGTCCTTGAGTGTTTGAAAATGTGACAACAAATAAAATATATTATTATTATTGGTATTTGTACAGCAGCATACCTGTGCAATGCAGAGTACATTACTTCATGGAGTGCAGAGCCTCCTGACATGGAGATATTTAGCAGCCACTTGTGATTTTACTGCTGGGAGTGGGAGTGAGATCAACTCAGAGCTGAAGGAGAATATCAGAGAACGCTTTTCCAACCCAATAAACTGTCAGAATCGCTGGATTTAACTCTAGTTTTTAAGCTGCTTTTAATAGAAGAGAACACCTTGTGAGGAAGAGCTACATTTTCCTGTGTCTTTATTTTAGCCTTGATCTGTATCCTTTTGTAGCTCTGCTGAAACCTGCAAGAAAAAAAAATACTGAGAACAGGAACAAAGAGAGCTGAACATTCATTCTCAAAACAGAAAACAGTCGTGATGAAGATTTTCGTTTAAATGGCTTTAGTTAACTAATAATTTACCTGTGTGTGTATATATATATGCATGTGTGTGTCTCTGTGTTTGTATAAGTAAATTGTTTGTGAGCTGAAGACATTTAAGCAGATAATCTTTGTACTCTGAATTTTCTGTCATGAGTTCAATTTATCACTAAAAAAACAAAGAAAAAAACATGCATTTTATTTTTGTCATAGATTAAAGGTCTTCTGGAAATATGCCAAAATCTGCTGGGTCAAAAAATATACATGCAGCAACTTGAATGAACAGTTCTGGTGATGTAGAAAGCTGTGTTAATCAAATTTCCTTCGTAGCATTTCATCTTAACGTCTCATGAGTGATTACGATTGGCGACAGCTGCTGACTCCTCTGAGGTATTTTAAATAGGGTCCATTTGATACACTCATTAAACTCAGCCACAAACACTACAGTGGGAAAGTCTGAGGAGCCCAGCAAATATATGAAAAAACAAATCATTGGCTTAAACAAGTCAGGAAAATCCCTTGGAGCCAATTCAATGCAGCCAGAGATCCTAAAGTCATCTGTGCAAACAACTGTTTGTCAGTATGAAGTGGATGACACAGTCACACTGGTGTGTGAAAACGCAACCATCGCCAGCTGCTGAGAGATAATTGGTCAGGATGGCCATGAGTCAACCAAGAATCACCAAAAAGCAGGTCTGTGATGAATTAGAAGCTGCTGGAGCAGAAAAAAAAAAAAGAAAGGCCTTGTGGAGAAACGGTCTGTGACCAGATGAAATAAAATTTGAGCTATTTGGCCACAATGACCAGAAAAATGTTTGGAGGGGAGGAGGGGAGGGTCTTAACTCCAACAACACCAAACCTACAGCAGAGCATGATGGTGGTGGTGTTCTGCTTTGGAGCTGTTCTGATGCTGTTGAACTGGTATTTTACACACAGTAATTGGAATAATAAAGGAGGAGGAGGAGTACCTCCACATTGTTCAGAGAAATATAAAATCATTAACCAGAAGGTTGGGTATTGGACTCAGCTGGGTGTTCCAACAAGACAATGACCCCAAACACAGCTAAAGTGGTACAGAAATGGCTAAATCAGGATAGAATTAGGATTTTCGACTGGTCTCCCCCAAGTCCTTACTTAAACCCCAGCGAGAATCTATAGACAGTTCTGAAGAAAGAAGTCTGAAACCCAACAAATTTAGTTGAACTGCACCAGTTCTGTCAGGAAGAGCTGTCACAGAGCGTTCCCCTTCAGTTATTTCACAAAGAAGCAAAATAATTAATTGATCTTATCATATAATAAAGAAAGAACATGAAGAAAATGTTTTTTTGTTAAACAAGTGATGAGCCCAACACAGAATTTTTTCAGAAAGTAAATCCAAGAAAGATGGAACACCTAACTTGTGTTTTTTTTTTTTCTCTCTGTGTTGCCTCAGGCTGCCGCTGCTGCAGGTATGATCAAAGGTGAGAGTTCAGTCACGGTTGGCCAGATCTGCTCCTGTACAGCACACTCCCGCGGTGCACCAGCATCATGATAAAAACCATCCTACCACAGACTCCGCTGAAGCTGCCGTGTATCTATTGCCATGGTGAGAGAGAGCTCCTGGACTTTGACTCTGTTGCCATGGTAACCCTGTAGCACGAAACCTATAACTCCAGTCTGTTGCCCTGGTTGTCACATAAAACGACCCAGGTAACTATTTCGGTCTGCGGCCATGGCGATGCCGTGGAGACGCCCTGTGAAATCGTAAGTCAGTTGCTATGGTGATTCTTTAAGCAAGCAGCAGTCAGTATGGGAACGTCCAGAATGTTCCGCATTTTTGTAGTCCTGGGCTCGGCTTTCATGATTCTTCTGATCATCATCTACTGGGATGACGTCGGGGCCTCCCATCTCTATTTGCACACTCCTGTATCGCCGGGACCCAAAGTCCTGCACCCTCCCTCCCAGCAGAGGCCTCAGACCTCCCGAACCCCGTCCTTCCTGTCCGACATCGATGCCTTCGTGAACCAGTTCTTAGAGCCGGGAACTGGGGAGCCCACTGACCCCGCTCTGACGGACACAAGCAACCAATCAGAGAAAGCAGAAGAGCGGTACATACCGCGGAGGGAGTGGAAGATTCACCTGACTCCAGTGGCGGCAGAGCTCCGTGAGAGACAGGTTAGTTTTATTCTTATTACTACTCTTATTATGAATAGTAAATTGACATCACGTAGAAGGAAAAGCAGAGGTAGAATTATTAAAATAAATGATACCGGCATTTCATTTATTGCAGCAGCCGGTCGCATGCTGCTTCACTGATTTGACTCGATAGGACACCTAAATACAGTCGCTGTTGGCATTGTGCTTTTTCTGATGTGACAAGTTCAAACGTCTGTTCTGAAAAACATCCTTTGGAGAACTTTGTATCCACAAACAGATCCATTATAATTCCCGTCAAGCTTTTTGATTTGAAAGATTAGAACCAACGCAACGCACCAAAACAAGTGGATGACTCTAAACAGACATTTGACACCAGCTTGAAATGTGTTAATTTCAGTTGGTACCTAAAATATTTAAATTCAACACCAGTGTCTCCTATCAGAGGAAGGTTTGATAATGAAACTCATGAGCATTATTATTCTGTCACCTAATGACACAACCAGGAGCAGCGACGGAGGTTACTTCAGGAGATGTGTGCCAATGACAGCGTGGTGTTTCCCGGCAAAAACCGAACCTTTGACGACATTCCCAACAAGGAGCTGGACCACCTGATTGTGGATGACAGGCATGGTATCATCTACTGCTATGTTCCAAAGGTATGAAACGCCAGGCGTCTTCTGTACTGATTTGCTTGAATTCATTTTGGGTTACACACAGTTACAGCATGCTTATGTCAGTGAACAGAATTTGAGACTGAGCATCTGTTGTTCAAGTCCCAGCATGCAGGCCTTAACTATGTCGTTTACATTGATCACATGGCGCCATTAACGACCCGTGAAAGCTTCAGTCTGCTCAAATTACATACGTTTGAATTACAGCATTAATCTTTATTTATTAGGAGCACTCTCTCTATCCTACATTGCAGCCTTTGTGATTTGCTAATTGCATCATTTAACTAATTGATTTCAAATTGTTCAGTTCTACCTTTCCTGCCTTTCGTCCTCAGGTAGCGTGCAGCAACTGGAAGCGCATCATGATAGTTCTCAGCGAGAGCCTGCTGCAGGACGGCGTTCCTCAGAGGGACCCGCTGGCTATTCCCAGGGACCTGGTCCACAACAGCAGCATGCACTTCACCTTCAATAAGTTCTGGAAACGTTACGGCAAGTTTGCAAGGCACCTTATGAAGGTGTGTTCAAATACGACACTTTGTTGTTCCCTAAATGGTGATAATAGTACAAGACTATGAAAAACACACACAGTGTAGTTTATTTGTTTTAAGTGCTGTCGATCGTTTGATGTTTCACGGACAGGATTTTAAATTTGCATGCTCCTCAGTTGCAGAGCTTTATGGTTGCTCCTCTGTGGGGAAATGTTATCAACTTGATGGAACTGAAGTAACTGTGACATCTGCTGAAGCTGCGATGCTTAATTTGCTCTGCCATTTGCAAAAATGACAGGAGACCAGGGACTAGTGAATAAATGATGACATTTATCAGATAACATGAAAAAACACCAAAATACTTAGAATCCATCCATCCATCATCTATACACTGCTTAATCCTCACTAGGGTCATGGGGGGCTGGAGTCTATCCCAGCTGACTCAGGGTGAAGGCAGGGGACACCCTGGACAGGTCACCAGTCTATCACAGGGCTGCACTTAGAGACAGACAACCAAGCACACTCACATTCACACCTACGGACAATTTAGAATCACCAATTAACCTCAACATGTTTTTGGACTGTGTGGGAGGAAGCTGGAGAACCCAGAGAGAACCCACGCTGCACGGGGAGAACATGGAGACTCCACTCTTGCTGCGAGGCAACGGTGCTAACCACCGCTCCACCTTGCAGCCCATGCATAGAATCAATTTTCCATTTTATTATATAATTTCCAAATTCAACAGCCAAGGGACATTATTGAATATTCACTGTATAAACAAACCAAAAAGTCCCTTTGTGAGTCAATTTGATTTCATTGTGAATTAGAAAGCAGTCGGCAGGCCAGCAGGCAGCGTAACACAGGCCCTGATTTGGCCCGTGGGCTGTAACATGAGCATCGCTGTGCTAAATCCTGTAATGCAGCGTGACTGGCATCTGTTCCTATCAGTTTGCTTTTGCCTGATGTTGTACTATCTACTCAAAAGAACTGAATTATTATTGATTTTATGGAGATGAATCGCTCTTTGGTGACCCCAGCTGCAGCTCAGAAAGCTATTTTACTCGCACACACGTTTTTGATTCAGATCTGCATCGTGAACAATGGTTCTGTGATCGCTGCAAGTTTGGGGCATTTTTAGAAATACCTTTGCAATTATGCCGTTTAGTGTGGTCACAGCATGCCAAGATTCTGACATACATAAGATGTCTGCCTAAATATCGTGATATAAAAAACATCACAGCAAAAACCTAAAGCATCAGGAAAAGTAATGGAATAATAGATGACAAAGTACAAAATGCAAAATTAGATTTTTCTTAATAATTAAAAAAGAAAAACTTTGACAATGCCAGTGTAAGACGTATGAAACAAGAGCAACCCAGTGTTCAGTTTCACATCCAACCTGAACTAAAGAAACTAAACTCAGCTCTTTACACACTGCTGCTCGTTCTTTCTTTCTTTCTTTCTTTCTTTCTTTGGATGGGATCCTTAAATGCAAAATTTAGTGCACATTTTAATCAGCCACTTTCTCTCTTTCATGAGGAATTTATTTGATCATTTATAACTCGTGTCGTTGCTCTGCAAACTTCAGCTCACAGTACCATGAGGGATGTTTGCCACATTGGTGGGTTAGCTTAAAAGATGAAGCCAAAGTAATGAGTTATCATTAAGTGTCTTGTCCAACTCTGATGGTGGAAAAAAGTTCCAAAATAAATCGTTTGACTCACATTTCAGGGCTTGTAAAAATGTTTTTGCTCACATTCTTACAATCCTTTGAACATGTCGGCATGTATGTTAGTGAGAGATTCGGCCAAGTTAGACATGCTGGCTTCTTTTTTTTTTCAGACAAGCTAGAATAATGCCATATTTTGCTTTGTGGACAATCTGTGCACTCCTTATGGAAGGAGAAAAAAAGAGGTCGTGTGCCCAGTATGTCTGTACGTAGTGAAAGCACAGCGCTACACACATTCTTCCTCGCTGTCGCACAACGACGCAACTCACAGGAAATGTAGCGTCTGTTAAAACACCGTCATTCTGACACAATGGGGATTGTTTTTGTTTTTACTGGCGAGGTATTGTGATGCCTTTCTAGTATACTGTGCAATGATAATGTCATCTAAGGACGTCATTATCATACTGCTGTATCTGCCGTTTGGTTCCACTGTACCTCCAACGCATAATAGAGCCGAAGCTGTCGGAGCACCAGGATCTGGAGCTCATTTCTAGCTGTAAAATAATAATCCGAGGGTCATGCAAGTTCCTTTTATTATTCTCAGTTATCATCACAGTTTTGAATGCATTTTGAATCCATATGGGATTACTTTGGGCTACGTGTTGATAAAATTGTGATTCATTTTTTGAAGGTGAAGCTGAAGAAGTACACCAAGTTCCTTTTCGTGCGGGACCCCTTTGTGCGTCTCATCTCCGCCTACCGGAACAAATTCGAGCTGCGAAACGAAGACTTTTACCGCCGCTTTGCACAGGTCATGCTGCGTCGCTATGCCAACCAGCCCACACCTCCTGCCTCGGTGGATGAGGCATTTGCCGTGGGCGTCCATCCGTCTTTCTCCCACTTCATCCAGTACCTGCTGGACCCTCAGACAGAGAAGGACATGCCCTTTAACGAGCACTGGCGACAAGTGTACCGACTTTGTCATCCGTGCCAAATTCAGTATGACTTTGTGGGCCACTTGGAGACGGCGGAGGAGGACGCCGAGCAGCTACTGCGCCAGATGAGGGTGGACAACGTGGTGGAATTCCCCACCTCCCATAGGAACCTTACAGCCAGCAGCTGGGAGTCTGATTGGTTCAGCACAGTACCTGTCGAGGCACGTAGGGAACTGTACAAGCTGTATGAACCTGACTTCAGGCTGTTTGGCTACGACAGACCAGAATCACTCCTCAATGAGTGACTAATGTTTCACAGAGCCGCACAGACACTTTTTTTTAATATGTATTGAAAAAACACTACACCCCGACTACAGTGACAAATTTTGTTTTGGGTTTTCGCTGATGTGTTCTCGTCTGCGCTGCGCTGAATGTACGCGTTATGAAGGGCACTCAATCAGAGGAAGCACAACAATTAGGCAAAGCCATCATCCATTGCTGTTTCTTTTCACTTAATCACAAAGATAACAAGAACGAAGGGAGCAGTTAAAACATGGACTGTGCAAACAAGTGTTCCTAAAATGTCGTACATTCGGCGCAGTCCTCCAAACTCGACGCCGAGTGTTTTGCACTCCCATTTTTCACACCATGCCTGCCATTTGTGGCCACAGTTGTGTTGTGATTACTGTGATGATCATAGGCTTTTGGTAGCACCGGTGTTGGAGAGAAACGGGGCCACGCTGTGTTTGTGATGGCAAAAGAAAGCATTTTAGTTGCTAACACAGAAGCAACGGTTTTTGGAAAGTTGGGCGATTAGATAAAACGTTTTATTAGATTAGTTGTAAATGTAGTAGTTAGTCCGCTAATTTATTTCCCATTGTTTAAGTGCAATGTTTATGTTGAGCATGAAAGGGATTTTTATGTTAAAAACACACACTAATGTCAACAGAAACACACCACCAACAGGCAGTTCTTTTATACCTCATAGGCATCAGGCATGAAGGAGATATTCATGTTGCGTCGACATTCTCTAAACAGCTTTTTCAGACCGGGCACGTTTAGTTCAGCCTTTCACTTCTATTAACAGAATGATTTCACACTACATTTTAGCTGCTTGCTTTATTTGACCAGTTTGGAAGCCCGATGTAGCCTCGTCACATAGAAGCACAGCAGCAGCTCCGGGAGGCAGCACATCAGGCTGATCGGCTGGATTTGCCCCAACTTGTCTTCGAGGCATAAATCTGGAGTTTTAGCATTCTTTTGATTTCGCCTCAGCTGTATGTGCACAGGTGGGCCTGGGTGTATTTAAATGAACAGTTTTCTAAAGGGAACATTTTCTTTCATTTTTTTTTTTCTCCTTTTGTTACCATCAGCATTTCATCGTCTTTTCGTGCTGCACTGAACTACTTTGGGTAACCCTGGAGACTGCAACAGTGCTGGGTTTTCTTTTTCTTTCCCCTCCCTGGATATGATGAACATTTTTTTACTCTTTAAGGGCAGCATTTTCATGAGATGCGTTGTTTTTTTGTAGCAAGCAGCTGAGCACATTGCATAAGGCAAACAGAGGGGTTTTTAGTATGTACACTGCACTACTGTGAAGGTGCATCAAGTTGCTTTGATGTTGTTCAGTACAACTGGTCCAAGATGCAACGATAGTCAGTGGTAGTTTCAAGGTTCAATCCTGGTTCGAGTCAGGATTATTCACACCGTGGGATTGGGTGACGTAATTTTCCCGACATGAGTGGAAAGAGAAGACAGTGCCTTTGGTTGCAAAAGTTTACACAGCAAAAAAAAAAAAAAGTATTTTTGTAGAAGGATTTAATTTTTACTTAAATACAGTGAGAGCTGTATGACGCCACAGCGAGGTATATTTCATATACTGGGCCTTGTGTATCTTGTGTGGCTGTAACTTAGGACAAACAGGAAACAACTGAGCCCTTTAGCAGAATTGTAACTTTCTATCTGGGTATTTGTATGATTTCTCCTTCGGTGTACTTTTGTGTTCAGTGGATTGCACCGTATGTATTTCGCCGCACATTTCTTTGTCTGGAAAAGCCTTTTTTTTTTGGTTGTTGTTTTAAATATGTTGTAATAATACCGGTGACTTGACTTGATGCAGGATTTCTGTGCAGTTCAGACTATACGCGATGTCACGTTATTTTGCAAGTTACTACGATGTACACACACTACTAGGACGGTGTTGTCTTAATGCCTTCTGTTTGTTTTGTTTTATCTGTGTCAGTGTTAAAAGGGTAAAACTGCATTTTTCCCCCCCAAAAGTCTGTCATCATCACGTCAGTACATGCAGTACATGAAGTGAATACATCCCTGTGCAATATCACTTGAGTGTCACGTGATTCAGAAATGTACCGCCTTTCAATAACTGCATCGTTTTTAAGCTGATGAGTCGAGTACTTCCTTACAAACAATCAGAGAGACTGCATTGAAAATATAGACCCCAAAGTAGAAACGTGACAAAAGGGAATCCCAGTTAGAAATCCTGGAATTACTGAAACTAAATTGGGTACACCTCTGATTTCCAGTCAGCCTAACTGCAGTGGAGTAGTTGGGAATATTGGACTTCTGTGCTGTGTCTGTCTGCATTATGGCTCCACATAGGAAAGAGCTGTTAGAATATTTAGATTATGAAACTTTACAAAGGAGGGAAAGGCTACAAGAAGAGTGGCGACCAACTAAAAGTCTCTCAAAACCAATCAGGAGGCACAGAATGAGCCATAGCACCACTTATCAAAGCCACTAGGGTTGTCCAAAGAAGACGCTATAGACAGTGTTGCATATTTGAGCTCCAGAAGCAGATGGGAAAGTACGTTAGATCCAGTAAAGGGTTTTTAGTTTTTGTTAATGGTTCCCAAAGCAAAACCATTTTGTACTCTTTGGCACAAAATTGCAAGATGAAACCTTGCCAAAGAAAACTGTCATAACCTGGCTCGTGGGTTATGACAAATATGGCAAGGACCACAGATTTAAGTCAAAATAAGGATGTTTATGAGAACCAAAAGCAAACCATTTAACAAATAATAGTAAGTATGGCGTGTGTGACTATCAGTAGTATCAGTAGTGTAGGTGTGAATGAGTGAACATGATGGGATGTGAGGTGTTGTGAAGCAGAAACAAAGCAAAACAGAAAGAAGTGTCGCCACCACTACCGTAGCCGAATGAGAGAGAGAGCAAGAGAGGGACGGCGGTAGATTTATGGGCCGTCCTGATGCCTTCAGGGACCCACAGGTAAACTGAATTCTCCGCCTCCATGACAGCAGCTGACATTGGGCTGTCACAAAACGAAAAAAAGAAAGAAATTGGAACCACACTCTGAGGCCAAGATAAATGTGTTTAGCTCTCATGGGGTCCAGCATGTTTGGCGTGAAACTAAACAGGACAGTGAATGCATCGTCCTGACCGTGAAGGTTTGAGTTTGATGATATGTAGCCGCATGAGTGCAAAAGGTGGAAAATGAGAAATTTGATTCCATGTAGTGAAAGCTGCATCGAGTTCCCACTGAGCAGCCTGTATTTTTAGTATTCAAAGCAAATGCTCCACTGGACAAATTAGAAATGATGCAGTTGCTGAGAGGTGATAACATTTTGAATCATTTGACGTCGACCGTTTCCATCGTAAAAGGGTAGAACTGCAAAGGAAAGCAGGTCTCCGTCAAGGGAAAACAAAACACCTCATCAACCTGCACTCCCACCTTACCAGTGTTTGGATTGTAAGTCACTCATATTTTATTGTCTTTTTTTATTCATGTATTTTTTTTTTTACTGTCCAGATTCACCATGCAGCAGTTATGTTCTTCAGCAGTTGTTTTCTGTCCAACCAGACGGACTCATTTTGTAAGGCGAAAAGAAAATGATGTTTATTTAATAGCAAAAATAAAAGCCGTGACTGATTTTTGCTTCTCCAAAGCAGAAGCCAGTCTTAAAGGGTTAAAGCTTTTTGTTGAAGCATGGAGTTAATGTGTTTGCTGAAAGGTTTCTTTTTAAGCTGCAGTACCAAACCATGTTTCATCGTCCTGAAATAGTGGCATACATACAACAACAAAAAAGTATTTTTCAAGCAGATTTTTTGGTGTAACTATTCATGCAGGTCCATCAGTTGTACGGTGTCACGTGTCATTTGGTATTCATACAAAAAGAAATAAAGGTTATGAGGGCATGGAGGAAGATTTATTTGTCTGTGCAAATCCATTATCTCGCAATAATAAGCAAAACATATTAGATAATGCTGGCACAGAACCAATATTGGCTTACAGTATTGCATATTATAAAGATTTGTAGATTCCATTATGGCGTTGTCCCAGCAACATAAAACAAGATAAGCCACTTTGTGTAGCGAGGATCTACATGAAGGCCTGGCGGAGAGGGAGACAGTCAGAACAACAGGAAATGAAAGCGAACCAATGCCGCCCACAAGAATGTTAACAGGAAATGCTGACAATTTTGGAGGAAACAGGCCAATCTTTGCATGTCTAAAGTGTGAACGAGTCAACCTACCGCTCATACGATTAATTCAGTCTAGCACACCCACACCGATCTACCGCAACATGTTGGCTGCCGTCATGGTGCACAAACTGACATTAAAAAAGAAAATGCTGATGTGCATCTTCTCTGGTTCCTTCATTGGACGCCTCCACTGCTTCGACAAGTTGACACATCATTATCCTGCCATCGGTGAATTCTGCATCCATGAAGAGGTGATCTGCAACAATGCTGTGGTACATGTAGAAGTGACATCCACATGAATGCAAGACCCAAGGCTTCCCAGCAGAACGATGCCCAGATCAGATACCAGCCTCCGCTGGCTTGTCTTCTTCCTATAGTGTGTCCTGCTACCATCTGGTAAGCCATGGACACACACCTGGATGTCCACATGATGTGAAAGACACCCTCCTGACACCTTCATATCAAAGTCAGCGTTAAGATTTTTAGCAATTTGCGCTACAGTGTCACTACCATTGGATGGGACCAGTGAGCAGCATCAGTGAGCTGTTGGCACCAATGATCCTGGTTGTTTCCTTTGAACCACTCTTCGTCGCTACTAATGACTGTATACTGGGAACACAACAGCCTTTTTTGGAGATGGTCTGACCCAGTCTATCCCAGTCGTCTATCCATCAATTCAGTCCAGTTCAGTTCTATTTATTTGGTACCAATTCCCATTATAAGTCATTGTAGGACACTTTAAGTTCATTCACGTTGCCTGCCAGTGGTTTTAATGTTGTGGATGACTGATGACTGTAGGTTGAACACTTAACATCAAGACAGGCCCAAGAAAACTGAAATAAGTGAGCTACCCTTTTCTTTTTAAAGCTACAACACAAAAACACTGACTGTTGGCAGCACAACCAGTAATTACCCAGCAGCTCTGTGACACCCTCATGGTGTCACTGTGCTCATGTTTATCAGAATCGTACAAGACTTTTTTGAGTCGGTGTAGCTGCAACATCTGAACTGTCAGCGAAATGTTGTCATGTTTGGGTAGTAGAGAGTAGAATAAAAAGATTCTTACAAGTAGACTGACACACAATTACTCAGTGATAACAAGCAGGTGTTGGTAGAGTATTTCTTGTGTGCCAAACACAGCATCAATGATGACACGGCAGGACTAATGGCAATAATATCAGCATAAGTAAATATATGGAACCCTGGAAGGGACACGGAGAAAGGGGAAAAGAAACAGGGAGAGGAAAAAAAGTATTTAGAGGTATCTTTTGCGAGATCTCACAAAACTTTCTCGGGAACTCGCAAAAACTTTTGCAAGATCTCGCAAAAGTCACATCAATCTTATGCCTCTTGATAAGCACTGCTTGAATGTCTTTATATTGTAGGTCAATTTCAAAATAAAACTCTCGTACGGGTGGATGTCCTCCATTTTTGTTTCTCTTAGCTGACAAAAAGACTCAGAAGTATATGTATCTGTAGTTTTGCGAGATCTGAGAAAGTTTTGCGAGATCTCGTAAATGAGACCTCTTTTTTTTTTTCTCTTTCCTCTCCTGTTTTTTTTCTTTCTCCATGTCCCTTCCGGGGCTCCGTAAAAATACGAGTTGACAGCTGATGGGTTTATTTAGGTATATTTTTAATGTTTATAATGATTACTGCATTCAGTCATACTTTTGATTAAGTGCAAACCCTATTAATGCTTCATATTTCATTCAGATTTCCAGTCTATAAACAGTGTTTTAGAATATTAAAAAAAAACATAATTCTTTATATTATTTAGATCCTGTGTCATCGTAAAGTTATTGTTCGTTTGTCCGCATACATCAGGAACAAGGGAACAATAACTGGTCATGTTTGACGTTTTGGAAGCACACATATTTACTTTTAGCTGAGATTTGGAAGCACACTGGTACCTTATCACTGCCAGTTGGTAAATATGAAGCTCTGGCACACAGTTGTTTTGTAAAGAGCTTTGTGCTACTTTCTGTTTGTATTCAAAATGCTATACTCATAAAGTCTGATGAGGTCTAAAGGTGCTACATCCTTTGTTTTCTTAGAAATCACACACACACAAATCTGTGGGAGCAGACAAGACTTTGTTTTTTTTTCAACACCTGCACAAATAATCCCTGAAGTTTTGAAAATCCAGTTTTTGCATGATGATGGAAAACTGCAGTGATAAAAATCTGTCTGTCAGCATATATGAAGTTTTAAAGTACATCAGACAACAAAGACTCCGTCACCAACAAGCAAACAGATGTTTTAAATATGAACTAGAGGGATTCAGTTGGTCAGGGATGTGACTCTGATGGTAAATACAGTTGTAGGTGTATAAATGGTCATGATGATGCAGGTGGTCGGTTAATCTCTGGGACATGATTTAACTAAACTGTGTTGGACTCCACTGCCCTCTGCTGGACTCAGGAGATCACAGCAGGAAGCACTGTGGCCAACAGGAAGGTGGAAGACAGACTAAAGTGAGAGCAGAGAAAAATCCCACATGTCTGGAGAAACCTCAGAGTTTTGGAGGTAATTACTGTCATCTTGGTTCCTTTATTCAACCGTGCTGTGAAGTTATTGTAGAGTCACCTTGCACTGTTGTACCATGTTATCACCATATGCACATTAATGTTAGTACAATAGTTTACTTTTACTTCTTTGTCTCAACATGTTCTAGTTTAAATTTTATCCTATTTTTAACTACCACATGGCTACTACTGCTACTATTGTACTGTTGTTGCTGCCATTCTGTGTCCAACTGCTCTACATCCCTTTGAATTGCACCCTGGGGACAGGGAAGTTTTTGAATTGAATTGATTAGTCAGTGGAGACTAAGCAATTTATTTAACTTGGCTGCTTAAAAAGTAAGATAATTATGCACCGGAGAGAAGTGAAAGAGAAACGGGACTGTTCAATCTTGAGCTAGAAAACAACGTTATCCCAAGAATAAACAAGAGATTTACTAAAGAATGCTTAAATTAGAACCTGCTGAATAAAAGTGAAATGCTGAATGTTTTTACAGATGCACTTCACTAATGTTTTTCTAGCTCCCTGGTGGACAATGGCTACTGTACATCTGAGGACAAGGCAAATCCAGGCTATTTGTCATTGATTGATTGATGAATCAAATGCAGACACCAGAGGCAGGCGATAAAAAACAAAAGGCAAGCTTTAATCACAAAAACTAAGGTCCAGATCAATCACACTTTGGCAAAGATGACCCAAAAGTCCAAAAAAGGTAACAAAGGCATGGCATTAAACTAAAGCAAGAAAAATAAAGACACAAAAAAGACAAATAAATTAAAAAAACTAACTTAAATGTAGAACCCAGAGGTAGATGAAGATGTTGGACTATATATTTGGAGATTGATTAGGGAGATGAGACCCAGGTAATGCATGAAACACAAGTAAAACTGATGAGGACAATGAAAAAGAGGGAAAGAGATGAATGAAGGAAGCAAAGTTACAAGAGACGCACAAGGATGGAGGCTTTACAAAATAAAACAGGAAATAACAAAAGTCAAGCTCAAGAATATATTGTTTCTAGTTTTTGTCTGATTTTATACAAAGAAAAACTTTCTACGTCTCATAGTGGGTACTATAAAATAAAATAAAAACACATGAATGTATATGTACCTGTATCATCCATGTTGTGGGATGTGAATGTATTTACACAGACANCATCCATGTTGTGGGATGTGAATGTATTTACACAGACACGTTACTTTGAAGGACAAAAAACATTTGGAATTTGCCTGAAATGTGCTAAACTATTTCATATAGGATCATGGAGAGGTGGAACAAACATTAACTATTTTGTCACCTGACTATGCTGAGAGTCAAATCATATAAATGCCTAATTAAAATGAACTCATTTTTAACACACCTGTGTAACATACATTACTACAAAACCTGTAGAGGTTCATAAGACCTGCAGCAAAATATTCCTCTAAACTGGCTCTACATCAGGCAGCCCAACCTCCACTCTTGTATTGGTAATGTTTTATGCATATTTTCCATAAAACCAGGCAGTAAAAATGGATAAAATTAGCCTGTCCCTCATGGCTGCGACGACGCTTCCATCCATCCATAATGAAATGGATTCCCTTTGTTGAACACTCAGTTCTTATATAACGCAGAATTACAGGCATCAAGCGAAGCTGTGTGGAGACAACGTGTACAAATATACAAAACGTTCTGGATACCTCGTGTTCAGCATCGTCTCAGTGTTGTGTTTGCAGCGCAGATCTTTACAGCGCGTACTTGACATGCCGCTCACATGCCTGGCGTAGGCACTTTCACTGATTACACAGGAAGAACCGCCATCCAGCAGCCGCTCCACCAACATGTGCGACGTGTTCACTGTGGTTAGCTCGGTGAAAAGGGACAGCAAACATTCTGGGTCTGGACAAGGGGACGGCAGCATTCCACACTTAGACCACAATATGGCTCCAAAAGCCTCTTTACAAAGTTCCCTACAGTTGCTGGTGGGATGGACTGCACCCATAGTCCCATCTCTGCATGTCCTGAAAAGAGTGGAGGCAGATCCTTACACAGTCTTAACATCCAGGTAGATGTGCCAATGGGACCTGACATGGAAAATGCACATTTTAAAATTTAGGTTGCACATTTTTTGTGTTTTCTTATAGTTTATTTTTGCTTATTTATCAGAATTTTTGGTGGTGGTAGCTTTGTTTTTGGGCTGTAACAACCAATAAAGTGCCTC